GTCATTGACAATAAAGGAGAGTGGACAGTAGGTGATACATTAGATACCAATGGTATGAATAATGAAGAATACAAGAAGAAGTATCAGCAGCAACTACAGACAGGAAGAAGAATAGAGGAGCACGAGGAGCCAAAAAAAGGAGCCTTGGATACAGCAGATATTGAGCAAACTGTACAAACTCTTATTCAGAATCTTGAAGAGAAGGCGAGAGAAGTTCAAGAAAAAGAGAATGAAAAGGAGAGAGAAGCACAAGTTTATTATCAGCAAATGGAGCAGAAGGAAAGAGAAGAAGCAGAAAAAGATCAAGAAATAAAAAGATATAGTCAACAGCTACAAGAGAAGGATAGGGAGGAGGCAGAGAGAGAGGAAAGATATCATAACCAGTTACAAGAGAAGGATAGGGAGCTACAGGAAAAGCATAGGGAGCTACAGGAGAAGGATAGGGAGCTACAGGAGAAGGATGTGGAGCATCAGGTGGTACTGCTGGAGCTACAGGAGGCACTACAACAAAAGGATATCGTGATACTTGAGAAAGATAAGGAGCTACAGGTCAAGGATAGGGAGGTAAGGAAGAGGCATAAAAAGCTAAAGGAAAAGAATAGGGAGCTGGAGGCACTACAGGAGGATATGCTTCAGCTAGGGGTGCTACAGGAGAAGGATAGGGAGCTACAGGAGAAAGACAGAGAGCTACAGGAGAAAGATAGAGAGCTACAGGAGAAAGATAGGGAGCATCAGGTGGCACTGCAGGAGAAGGATAGGGAGCTATGTCAGTCTCAAGAGGCAGTTCGTAGGTACCAGCAACAAGCACTTACTGATGATCACTGGGTTATTGATAAAGATGAAGTGATTTTGACAGAAGAGGAGTTAGGACGAGGATCTTATGGCGCCGTTACAGTTGGTATTTTTAGAGGTTTAAGAGTAGCTGTCAAGTCACTTCATAATATCATCATCTCAAAATATAATCTAGGTATCTTCTCCAGGGAAATGAGTATAGCATCACGAGTACGTCATCCTAACCTGGTCCAGTTTATTGGTGCAACTAAAGTGGGTAATCTTCTCATCTTGACGGAGCTGATGAGCACTAGTCTTAATCAGGAGATTCGAAAGAATGAGTTAGCAAAGCAGCAGATTATCAGTATTGCTCAAGATGTAGCTTTAGGCCTCAACTACCTTCACCTGTTTAAGCCTCATCCTATTATTCACAGAGATGTGAGCAGTCCTAACATATTATTAAAGCCTTCCACTGGAGCTGCTGGTTATGAAGCTAAAGTAGCAGATTATGGTACAGCTAAAGTAGTGCAAGCTGAAAGTACTGGTACTGTTATGCCTGGTAATCCAGCATATTCTGCACCAGAAGCTCGTGATCCTGAGCAACACAGTCCAGCAATGGATGTCTACAGTTACTCTGTTCTCCTTATGGAAATGAATTTACATTCTAAACCGGAAATGACAATTGAAGAAAGGGCACGACAGTCTGATTCTGTATCTTGGTCTGATATGAAGTCTCTCATACAAAGAGGACTTAAAGCTGATCCTAGAGCTCGTCCTACTATGGCTCAAGTAGTAGAGTCATTGGAAAGGATAAAGATTTGAATTAATATATTTTGTTTTGCTAGTTTAAATTAAAAACATTAATTTTTTGTAGTTTTTTGCTGCCCTGCATATTATCTATCTTCTTTTTTATTAATCTTCAGTTCTCTTCTAATTTCTTCTCTTTTTCTTCAATTGATAACCTCTTCTCCAAAAATGGCAGAT